CCAGCTGTCACCCCTATGAGGCCTCTTGCTTTCTGGAGTTACTGAGTTACTGACGTAGATAGGGCAGACTGGGAGAGAAAGGAAGGGAGAAGTCATATCCTTCTCCTCTCCCTGACTGCCGAGTGTTGGCCTTTCCCTTGCAGAGCTCGGTGACTTTGACTTCCTGCATGCCAGCGGGGACGTCACATCCCAGGCAAAGGCAACCGAGGCCTGCCCTCCTGGAGCAAAAAATGTACGGTCCAGGTTTGGTACCCTGGGTGCCCACTCCACTCTTGGGGCTGGTGGAGATCCAAGTGAACCATCCCTTGATGCTCCTTCTGTGTCTTCCCCAGGAACAAGACAAGCCCAAGGCTCTTCCCCTAGAGGAGGCTGTGTCTTCCATCCAGGAACTCATTCAGCTCAGCGTTGCCATCGCTTTCAACTTCCTGGGTACCTGGTTCCCCTCCTCAAGGCAGGGGGATGGCGAAAGGGAGTGGGGTGGGTGGAATACAGTCAGAGTAGAGAGTGTTTATCTTCTCCCAGGTAGGTAGACCAGATGTGGCTTCGTGGTGCAGAGGGGTCCAGGATCCATCCTTAACTCTTACACGTTCAGCCAGTCTTAAAGCCAGCTCTCATCTTGAGTTCAGTATTAGTCATTCCAGCTCCTGCCTTCCTGTGTATGTTCTTGGCAGCTGGGAGGAGAGACTCAGCCAGCTAGAGGACCACTGCTTTCCTTCAAGGGCATGACCTTGAAGTTGCCCTTTATAGAGGTACGTAAGCCACAAAGTAGGCTTATGGCCATCTGTTATAGAGGAGGCTGAGAAATGTAGTCTTCAGCTAAATGGCCATGTGCTTCTTTGACAATCCTGTCCTGTGTAGGCATTAGGAAATTTTAGAGGACACCCAGCATTCTCTGCCACGCTTAGCAAAGAGCAGGCTCCTGCCATTTGCAGCGGGCCCCAAGTGCATAATGGGAAGGAAAGAACCCTTATCAAGTCTGGGAACTCCACATGACCTGGCTATTTGTCCTGGGTCTGCGGTGACTTGGCTCTTGTCTCGAGCCATCTAAGATGGAACCCTGGGTTCCCAGCAGCACTTTCTGGGGCCTCGTAGCTGTGTGGGTGAGAGGCTGGAGTTCATTCAGAGCATATTTACTGAATGTTCACCTTTGCTAGCGCCTGCTCTGTGTCCTGGAGATATGGTGGTTCTTTGTTCACATGGGAATTGAAGGATAGTAAACAGTAAACTGGCCAGATACAGTGGTGCACTCAGGAGGTAGAGGCAGGCAGATCTCTGAGTTCAAGGCCAGCCTGGTCTACAGAGCAAATTCCAGGACAGCCAAGAGAAACCCTGTCTCAAAAAACAAATGAACAAACAGAATTTCAGATGATAAATGTTATGAAGACATTGAACAAGGGGATGTCTCACTAACTTGGGCAAGGAACAACTTCTCATGTAGAAATATGCCGGAAGGGAGACCCTTGAGCTAAACCTGACTGACAAAGGCAAGCTGTTTTTGTTCCCATCTGGAGAAAGAGCTCTCCAGCAGGGGGAGGAGCCAGAGCAAAGGTGCTGTGGCAGCACCGCACCGAGCTTTACTAGTTAAGGGACAAAGGAGAGGGGACTGTGGCTGGGACTTAGCGGTCACAGAAAGGACAGAAGGATGAAGTCAGAGAAACAGCCAGGAGCCAGCTCAGGTACGGACGGCCCTGTGAGCCCAGAAAGAGAGCAGGGATTTCCTACGTGAGACAGGAAGCCACTGGAGCAGGAAGAGGATGGTCATGTGATCTGACTTACTCTTCCAAAGATCTGGGTGGCTGTTTACAGACCAGCATGGATTGAGGGGGGCCGGAAGGGGGACGTGCGCCCAGCAGGAAGACTTGCTGAGAACTAGGAGGATGTGATGAGGCTTAGCTGTGGTTAGAGACAGCAGAGACAGAGGAGGAGAGGAATCCAGGCTGCTGGTGAGTGGTGGGCGCATCTGCCCATCGCATCTCCTTCCCGAGGACAGAGGACTCAGTGAACTCTGGACAGTGGATTTTCAGGAGGCAGGGCCGTGAGTCTAACTCTGCTTGCAGAATGGAATGTGGTTTTTGTGGGTGATTTTGAGGGCAGACTCTTCTCAGAGCCCTCCTGCCCGCTCCCCCATTCATATATTCATTTATTCAGCAAGTGCTGAGCCCTGTGGCAGAGCACAAAGACAGCACAAGCTATAATCATATTTTGCATTTATGTAGAATTTTCATCCCATGCAAAATTACTTCTCCGTTCTTGTTCTGCCTGCCTCGAGGATTTTACAGTATAATTGAGGAGACGGGGCTTATTCTTTTGTACCAGCTGTGTCCATAGACAAAGGTTTGGTATATTAGGAAAGTGCTCAAAAGAGTTGAAACCCCAAGTGTGGTCTGAAGGTTCTAGAGGAGAAACAATGGGGGACCTGGTGATGGAGGCGGAACCCAGGGCTTCAGGCAGGAGCCAGTTTGAGCAGAGATGAAAACTGGCAAAGTTAGTCCTGCCTGTGCAGTTCCTGTTTCCTTAGTGCCGGGGCAAAGCACTGGGCCCTGGCTTTGGAGTTTGATGTCAGCCAGGCATTGGCTGTCTTCTGCTAGGGCTTCCTCCTTGACCCATTAGACTAGCTGAGCAAGATCGCCTGTGTGCAGTGGAAACCCTGTCTAGCTGACATAAACCAAAGAATCTCTGGGATCTCTTGACCTGTCGAGCCTCAGGGGGAATGGAGATCATGAAGCTCCAGAGACCCAGGGGCCAGCCGTGATAGTGTCTCAAGGTTGCTGCTGTCAGAGCACATAAGAGTTCTTTTTCCTCATGAGAATCTTCTCAACCTGATTAAGATTCACGCTCCTGACAAAGTCTCCGTGGTGGGGAAGAGCACAGGCCTGTGATTGACAGCCCAGGGGAAGGGTTGTTCCCAAAGGGCAACCAGAACTATTAGCCAATAAGCAAGCACAGTCACCCCATCTCTGGCAGCAAACCTCCGACCCCCACCCCCATCCATGTCTCTGGCACCAGTGAGCCAGCTGAGAAGTAAATGCAGCACACCTGTATCAGCACAAGACGAAGAGGGATTCTGGGAGGAGATGAGCAACCTGAGGGTCTGCTTGAGCATGTGGAAGGTCACAGTGGGAATGTGTTTGTGCTCCATGCTTTCTACAGGGACAGAGAACATGAAGACAGGGAACTACACAGCAGCCTTCTCTTACTTCCAGAAAGCCGCAGACCGTGGCTACAGCAAAGCGCAGTACAATGTGGGCTTGTGTCTCGAGCATGGCAGAGGCACCCCTAGGGACCTCAGCAAGGTACTGTCCCATCCCCAGAGCCAGGGAGCTCAGAAATGAGTAGTAAACAGAGGGACTAATAGTTCATCTTCTGCCCCGGCTTCACTGGAGCCCAACTGTGATTTCAAAGTAAGCTTTCCTAAATTAAAGAAATGTACTCCAAACTCAGGCAGGGCAGGCATTTTGCTTTCTTTGCACTGTACTCTCAGAGCCTAGATTATACCTTGATAAATAGATTAATTTTAAGATAAAAGGGTAAGTATGCAAGGGTGTCATGTGTAAAATATGTTGTTGAGCCGTATGTGAAAGGAAAGGGGAAATCAACTTGTTCCTTTATGTCTACGGGGCCTTAACAATGACATATCAGAGCTGTATTGACAGGGGAGATATTAATGCTATAATCTTATGTCTCTTCCACTGTATGAGTGTGTATTCATACATAAATATAATGGGTAGGGCTGGAGAGATGGCTCAGCAGTTAAGTGGACTAGCTGCTCTTTCAGAAGACCTGGGTTCAATTCCCAGTACCCACATGGTGGCTCACAACCACCTATAACTCCAGTTCCAGGGGGTCGGACATCCTTTCTGGCCTCCACAGGCACTGCACACATGTGGTGCACAGACATACATGCAGGCAAAACACCCATGTATACAAAATAAAAACAATAAAATAAAAATACATAATGTATACACATGTACACACAAACATACATATGTAAATGTATACACAGTGTGTGCAGTGTGTATAACATATTCATGGGCCCGGGGGTGGGGGTGGGGGACGGGGACGACTTGGAAGCCTATACACTAAATTTTTACAAAGAATGATCTGAATTGAACATGGTAACACACACCTATAATTCCATCACGCTAGAGGCTGAGGCAGAAGGATTTTTACACATTTGAGGCCAATCTGGGCTATATAGGTAGTAACAGGCTGCAGGAACTCTATATCAAGACTCCTCTCAAAAAGACAATGGATCGGGGCTGGAGAGATGGCTCAGAGGTTAAGAGCACTGACTGCTTTTCCAGAGGTCCTGAGTTCAATTACCAGCAACCACATGGTAGCTCACAACCATCCGTAATGAGATCTGGTGCCCTCTTCTGGTGTGCAGACACACATACAAACAGAACACTGCATACATAATAAATAAATAAATCTTTTTTAAAAAAAAAAAAAAAAAAAAAAAAAGAAAAAAAAAAACAAAAAGTCCTAATGCTCTTTAGGAGGCAGGATATCTTGAGGTTTTATGTTTGTATTTTGGGTTTCTGTTTTTAAATTTGACTTAACAGCATTTACTTGACTAACCTATAATGATTATGTATTTATTTGAATGATTTTTAAATTTTCATGCAAAGGAAGAGGCAAATTACCTGCAGACTGATTGTTTCTCGTTTCCCCAGGCGATCCTCTTTTACCGCCTGGCCGCCACCCAGGGCCACAGCCTGGCTCGCTATCGCTATGCCCGGTGCTTGTTACAAAGTTCAGGCTCTTTGTCAGACCCTGAGGGCCAGAGGGCGGTGTCTATGCTGAAGCAGGCTGCAGACTCTGGCTTGACCGAGGTGAGTACCGGCGGCGGCGGCGGCGGCGGCGGGGTCTATTCTCAGTGGGGTATGCAGAGCCTGGAAGTGACTAAGATGCCCATTTCCTTCCTCCCTGACAGGCCCAAGCGTTCCTTGGGGTGCTTTTCACCAAGGAGCCACACCTGGATGAGCAGAGAGCCGTGAAATACCTATGGCTGGCAGCCAGCAACGGGGTGCGTGTGAGATCTCTGGTCTGTGCATGTCGGGGATCAGGTCTGATAAGAAAAGGAATTGGGAACTGGTTCTGAGCTCTGGGCTCAAGATATATTTTCCAGGAGCCTTGGGCTAGCCAAGTCATGGCTCCCACTGTGTGACCTTGGACAGGGCCACTGGGATGCTGAGCTTAAAGGTGGGGATACCGCTCGGCTGAAGTGGAAATGCTTGCTCGGACATTGTGAAGTGTGGCACAGCAGGGCTCCTCTCTACCAGCCACCCAGCCTGTTGCTTGCTACACATTCACCACACATCGGGCCATCACTTCTTGATTCAGACCTGTCTCGTCACCTTTAAAACAAGCATAATAATCCCCACTTTAACTGTCTGCTGCTTCACAGGGTTAGTGGGAGCATCAGACCAAGGCGACAGGTGTGCGACCTCTCTAAGCTGTACCCGTGGCCAGTCATTGTGGTGGCCTGGGAAGTCAGACCCGTGAGAGAGGCAAACTGGGTTGTCTGACCTGGGTGTTGGCATTCAAGTGGCATAGCCCAGTTCGTTCCACGGAGAATTGGTTCCCTGGGATGTTGATGAGGAATGCCAGGGGAATGGTTACCTGGACCTCAGGAGCACTAAGTGAAAAAAAAGTTGTTTTGCGTGTAGACAATCTCAGAGCTCTTTATCACTGTGAAATGCCACGGTGATCTGTGGTTCACTGGATTCCCGTTGTACCTGGAAGGGTCCGGAACCCTGGATTGGAGCAGGCAGTGTGCACAGTGTCACTTCCCCGTGTAGGACACTGGAGCACTGTGTGGGGACATAGCCCTTCCACTCTTGAACCTTTCGGGAACTGGGTTGGTGCCTAGGGGCTTGGACGGAGTGGTGTCGTCAGGTCTCATGTCTGCCCTGCTGCAGCTCCAAGTCTGCTGCATTCATGACAGACTGGCCTTCACGTCACCTAAGAGGGAACAGAGTCAGTGGTAGAGCGCTTACCTAGCAAGTGCAAGGCCCTGGGTTCTGTCCTCAGCCCTGAAATATATATATATAAAAAAAAAAAAAAAGGGAAAAGAGTATGTAGCAGAAACGTGTGGTGCATAAAGGAGCAATGGGACCATGACCATGGTTGGGAGTCTATAGAATTTTTTTTTAATTGAGGGATTAAATATGATAAGAGGTCTCCAGTAAGGGAGGAGAGCTCAGTGGTGTGAGAGGCTGGAGGGGAGTTGGATGCTAGCGGCACTGTCCTGAGCACCTTTCATGCAGACAGCCCAAACAAGGAGTGCTTCTGTTACCCCTGTTTCCTAGGTGAGGAGACTGAGGCACCTGGCTTGGAAGCCAGGAAGGCTAGCCTGCAAGCCAGGCTCTCACGCCTGCTTGTTCCGTCTCACAGAGGAGCGCTGCATCAGTGAGGACACAGAGCCCAGAGCCGCAGGCAAGGGGCAGAGCCCCTGAAGAAGACGCGCTTGTGCTGTGGTTTCTGTTTTACAGTCCTCTCAGGTGGAGTCAGGAAGGCGGACCCGTCTTTGGGAATACTCTGTACTCCGGCCTTCTGTCAGAGGCCAAAGCTCACCTCCCCGTGTCCTTCCCATCTAGGGCCAAACCCTTCGGCAGTTGTTTTTCAGACAGTCCCAGCAAGAGAAGCTTTCATAACGGTGGGGTGGCATCTCCCCAGGCAGAGGGACCTAACTCCTCGGCAAGCACTGGGCATTTCACAGCTGAGGGGCTTGGAATGTGGCCGACCGCGCGGATGAAGGCTCAGCATACCCACCTGACTCCACCTCACTCCTGGCTACGCATTCCAGTTCTTCCGTTTGTCTGTCTTCTCCTTTAGGACTCTCAGAGCAGATTCCACTTGGGAATATGCTACGAGCGGGGCCTGGGCGTCCGGAGGAATCTGGGCGAGGCTGTGAAGTGCTACCAGCAGTCAGCAGCTCTGGGGAACGAACCCGCCCGGGAGAGGCTTCGGACCCTCTTTAACGTGGAGGCGGCAGGTAATGCAAGCCAAGGCCTGGTTCCTTCCAAACTAGTGCCCTGTGACGACAAAAGGTGGCAGCCCCCGGTCCCCTGGTCCGTTCTGGCCCCAGTGGTAGAAGCCCAGCTTTCAGGGCAAGGTCATCGTGTTTTGACCTCTGCTGTCACTGACCTGGGCTCCACGCCTTTCAGCCTTGGCGTCTCCTCTGACAGTCAGAGGAGCGGTACAGCTTAAGTCCTTAGCACAGGCAGCCCTGGTGGTGCCTGCCAGGAGTCGCAACCTTTGCGATGCTAAGGCGTGCATTCCCGGGTTGGCTTGGGTAACACAGCCAGACAGCGCCTTTGAAAATAAAGCAGAGCAGAGTCTAGCATACAGTAAGTATCCAGTAAACCCGTGCGTGATGGCTGCTGTCATGGTTTTTTGGGAGAGCCAGTGTCTTGAGGCTGACTGAGGTACCGTTCTAGGCTATGAGAGCCCCACTCACTCCTGAGTCACTGGGGCTGGGCCCCACGAGCAATGCCAGGGGAGAGCCAGCGCCTTTAAGAAGTCCTGCTCTGCCAGGTGTGGCGGCCCACGCCTTTAATCCCAGCAACTTGCAGCAGAGGCAGGGGGATCTGAGTTTGAGACCAGTGTAGCCTACATAGTGAGTTCCGGGACTTTGTAGAGACCCTGACTTAACGATCCTGTCAGAGAACTGCACGGACAAACATTGCTGTCACCTCTCTTGTAGCCCCAGGGCCCGGCCACCTGGCCACGACAGGACTGAAGTCTTTCTCCAGCCCCTCCCTCTGTAGCCTGAACACCCTGTTGGCAGGCGCCTCAGGCCTCCCTCATGCCTCAAGCACTGGGAACCTCGGCCTCCTCTGCGGAAGGAACCATCTTGGAGCCAGCCATGGAGCCCCCAGCAGGGCTAATCCATCCTTGGAAAGGAGTCTCCTGAGACTGGGTTTCGGCTAAGGTGAGATAAAATGCAACCCTGGCTAGGGAGAGGGTGGACTGGATGAAGGTTGGGTGGCAAAAACTAGGTATTAGTACCCCTTCCTAGAGTAACAATCCAGTACTGGTACTCAGGTGCCCACCTGTTTGGGGTGCGTGGCTAATCAGTGAATTTGTCTTTTTTTCCACTTGGTAGCCTCACAAGTAACACCAAAAATATTCATTCAGTGACCCTAGGAACCCTATTTGTCACCTTTGCCTTTGTTTTTGAGCAAATAACTAACCTTCTCTGTTCCTGTGCCTCAGTTTTCCCAGCTCAGACCATATTATAATTTGCCAGTAACCCGTGATGTGTGCACCCATGATGTGCGCATGCCCCTGGTAGTTGACAAGATTTTACGTGGCATGTAAATCAAGATGCTTTACTTTAGTAATGTTTACTATATAATGCCAAATATAATGAGCAAATTGGCCTATAGTTCTTTTGCATTTATGTACAAAACTAACTAACCTTTAAAAAAAAAAAAAAGGGGTCAGGGAATCGACCTAAAGCATCCTGTCAAATGGAGCGCAGATCCGGAAGATAACAGAAATGTGGAGGTGTTCCCACGAGTAGCTGATGCTTGGGAAATCCTGAGTGTCGGCAACATTCTCGGCCTGTTTATCCCCAATGGATTCAATGATCATCTTCATCTTTGATGTGGAAGGGAGAGGTTGCCTGGATGCTTACATGTGTCTGTTTGAATTTTCTTCAGACCTCTACCTGAAAGATGGAGCCCAAGAGTTCTCAGAGATATCACAACTTGAATCCCAGAGAAGAGGCCAGTTAGCTACTCACTTTCCTGGAACCTTCAGCACCTCCCCAGCACCATAAAGAAGCGTGTAAAGACCTAGGTTCTGGCTCTGCCACTGGCCTGGCTCTGCCACCTGGAAGCAGTGACCTGATTTTCTAACATTATTTTCTCAATTGTAGACCAAGGACAGTAGCATGTGCCTTTCTGCCTCAAAGGACTGACGTACAGCCACTTCACTGCAGAAAGGGCCTGAGTCCTTGCTTAGGTGCCTGAAGGTAGAGTGATGCCCACAGTTCTATGGCCTTAAGAGTCACCAGGGGCTGGGTGGTGGTGGTGGCGGCGGTTAATCCCAGCACTTGGGAGGCAGAGCCAGGTGGATATCTGTGAGTTCGAGGCCAGCCTGGCCTACAGAGTGAGATCCAGGACAGGCACCAAAGCTACACAGAGAAACCCTGTCTCGAAAAACAAAAAAACAAAACAAAACAAACAAACAAACAAAAAAAGAGTCACCAGACCCCCAGGCATGATTCGAGTGCCTTTAATCCCAGCACTTAGGAGGCAGTGGCAGGGGGATGTCTGTGAGTTCAAAGCCAGCCTGGTCTATAAAGTGAGTTCCAGGACAGCCAAGGCTACATAGAGAAACCCTGTCTCAAAAAGCAAAAAACAAAAATGAAACAAGAAAAAAGAAACCTGAATGAAGATCGAAGCTGACATCATGACTCCAGCCCAGGCTTCTGGTCTCCCAGTTCCCACTGTGGTGGTGTTTGGAAACATTATCATCACCCTGCAGGTGTGGGGTATCAGTAGAGATTAGGACCTGGAGTCTTGGAGTCAGAAAGTCGAGACTGTGAGTCCTTTTTGGGAAAGGTCAGGTAGGAATATACAAGTGTTTAATAAAACAGCTGGTGGATTATCTCCTCACTCTTGCCCTTGAGTGTGTTGGGGAGAGCCAGGGAGATGGGCAGGGGGAGCAGAAAGTAAGGCTCCATCCTCATCTCTAAACTCTCCATTAACCAATTTAAAGGGTCTTAAAAGCTCTCCAAGAGAGAGACTTAGAAAAAAAAATGACTTCTGAGTCAACGCTAATGACTCCAATTACTGAATTTGTGAATATCTGTTCCCTGGCTTCTGGAAATTAGCCCAAGTTCAATAGCAGAAATGTGGCTGTGGGTAGGGGGTGGGAGGAACTGAGGACCAGCCCTCCCCCCACCTCCCCCCCCCCCCCCCCAGAAATGTGGCTGTGGGTAGGGGGTGGGAGGAACTGAGGACCAGCCCTCCCCCCACCTCCCCCCCACCCCCGTGACTGTTTCCTCGACTAGCCAGCATGGTCTGTTCCGAGATGGGAGGGTTTTCCAGGGGTAAGTGTTCACATTTTCTTCTGCTGCCCGCCTCTGCCTCTCCTAACTTGTGTGTGCTGTGCTGTTCCAGCACCTTCCTTCCCCTGAAGACCCAGTGGCCCCCCTGCTCCCTGCTTCCCACCCAGATTTGCCATGATACCATCCTCACCCCTATTGGACACCTTCGATGATGCCTTCCACAGACCATGCTCCTTAGCCATGAGCACCCGGTCATATCCCAGCACTCAGAGCAGTGTCCCAAGCACGGTGTGGGCTCCATGTTTGGAGTTTGAAGCCCTGCAGTACACTAACCGCTATGGCAAAAATAAATAAATGAGAAAGGTTTCTGTGGTCGAGTAAGTTTGGGAAGCAGTGCCCCAGATGGCCCCTTTTTATAGATTCACCGCACACATCAGCAGCGTGAGCTCCAGGGAGCCCTGCAGTAAGACCAGGGTTTCTCACTGAGGCCACAGCCTTCCTGGGTGCCTTGAGAAATGTCACCACGAGCATTCTCAGGGGTCTCACCCAGCAGCTGTTAAGTCATTTGGGTCCCCCCAGCCCCTCCTGCTTCCCCAACCATGTCGGTCAGACTGGATCCGAGTGTCTGCTGGGATGGTGCCATGAGGTTCTCACCCCACTCAGTCCCTGCTGAGCTAAACACAAACAGTCTGGGTACCCAGGTTGAGGTGGGGTATTTCCAAACTCTCCAGTCTCAGAAAGAAGAGCCTCTGCCTGGGGAGAGGGAAGGGTAGAAGTCATAAGACATGTTATGGGAGGGGGGGGGAAACCAGGCTGTGCAGGCGTTGTGGCCTCAATTCAGTCTCTGCCAGTCTCAGCACAGCCCCAGGGGACAGGCTTCAGGGACAGACCCCACACTGCTATGCTTCTGCCATTAGAATTCTAGTCATGACTCATCAGTGCCCTGAGGGACAATGTGAGAGGGGAGCAGGGAGATGGCCCCACAGCAGGGCCAGCGAGGCTTGTGTGCCTGAGACACAGGGTTCCAAGCCTGGCCATGGAACCAGCTCCTCAGCCCTGAGACCTTTGAGCAAAGCTGTACTGATACTCTGAGGTCCTGGAAGCCATGATGCTGTGGTGGGAACACAACCATTCAGATCACTAGGTCTTTGTTGCTGATAGAGTGCAGAGGACTTAATAGATGCTCAGCGAAGGTGTGTGTATTCAACATGTCTGCTTTGTGCCCAGCAACAAGCCTACACATAGTAGGCACTTTAAGTAATTATTTTGTGGGTGGATGAATGATTATGCCTTTCTCCTCTCTATGATCATTATGCTACTTCTGACACTTAGAAATTGTTCAAGAAATAAAAAATATAGCTAAGTGTGGCTTAATCGTAGCACCCGAGATGCTGAAGCAGGAGGATTGCCTTGAGTTCAAGGCCTACAGTGAGAGACTCTGACTCAGACAAGTTTATTGAGTGATGTTTGTATTGCCCTCATAGTATACACCATTCCCAGGAGGATCTAGAAAACGCTGACCTACTTGGCAGGTAAATATGATGTGCTAAGTTGATCCTATACTGAGTCTTCCTCCTCCCCCACCCTGTCTTTTTTGGGAATTTGGTTCCCTCCAGAGTCCCAAGGGTAGCGTTGCCATCTCATTCTTGTTTCAGTCAGAGGAGAGGTAGGGTCAGCGAGCTGCCAAGCTGAAATTGGGTGACAGACGGGAAGGCTGCCTGTCAATCTCGGAGCTGCCCCCGGGCTGAGTGAACACTGCATTGCACTCTTGGTGCTGGAGAAAGGCTGACTATTGATTTAAAAAAAAAAAAAGTCCCTCTGTGCTTTCCAAATTAAGACGACATTTAACTGAGTGCTTGCTGGCTCGCCTGCTCTCTCTGTCTCCCAGGGGACAGAGAAACTGTTTCCAGTGATGTCCAAAGCCTTAGCTTTGACATCTTGGCTGATGTCAAGAAATTTCTGTAACCTTCCTGTTCAGCACACCCAGTTCTGTCACCATATGTACTGCCTCGCTCGCTCGCTCGCTCGCTCGCTCGCTCGGAGCCCATTTTGGGGAAAAGTGCTGGTGTCAGCGAGCTAGGAAGGGACGCCGGGCGCAGGATACGGCACCAACCCTCGCACACACACACACCCCAAAACAGCATTGCCCAGGAGTTCTCTGGGTTCTGCAGGGGTGCCGAGGACAGACTGAGAGGGCTGCAGTGGTCCTCAGTCTTAGTGAAATTGAAGTCGAAGTCCACTTCGAGAATCTGATGAAAGCACTATTCCAGCCCAGAGGAGAGTGCATCCCATCCCTGCTCGGCATGCGGTTTAGCCGTCCATAGATCCTGAAGCCCAGACACTGTAGGTTAAGAACCTGGGATGGAAACCAGGCATAGTGTCTAACGTGGCTAATAGCACTACTCAGGATGCCGAAGCAGGAGAATTGCCAAGTGTTCAATCCATGGCTACATAGTACGTTCCAAGGTGGCCTAGGTTCCACTGTGAGACCATCTGAGAGAAAGAAAGAAACAGGAGAGACGTCTAAAGAGGGGCTCAGCAGGAAAGATGCTTGCCCCCAAACCTGACAACCTGACCTTGATCCTTGGAACCAGTGTAGTAGAAGGGGAGAACCTGACCCCCTACAAGTTGTCCTCTGACCTCCACAGGCATGCCCTGTGGTATGTGTGCTTCCCACCCCTGCTAAAGAAAGTAAAAATTGAAGTGGCTAGGCATGATGGTACATGCCCTTAATCCTTGCAACCAGGAGGCAGAGGCAAGCAGATCTCAGCGAGATCAAGGCTAGTCTGGTCTACCAGGCCACCAGGGCTACACAGTGAGACCCTGTTTAAAAAAAACAAAAAGGCCACTGTAATGTAGAATATATTCAGTCCTGACTGCAAGTCACCGGTGGTTTCGTCTCTCCATGTCCTTGGCTGTAAAATGAAGAGTTTCTCCTGGCTGTGACAGTTATACACTGGTAATCCCAGGACTTGGGAGGTAGAGTCAGCAGGATCAAGAATTCAAGGTCATCCTCAGCTCTAGTGAAGAGTTGAGACAATGAAAAGTTCAGACTCTGTAGGTCTGCAAATGGTTTAGTGTCTTGAAGCCATGCTGCATAAACTTTTACAGGTCATATGTTTCCTTGGGAATCTGATGAGGACTTTGTATCTTCTGCTCAGATAAAACTCCTTATGTACAAAGGTTTGTCTGGTATGCAGCCAAGGACCAGGGTTTTAGGACTAGTGAGATACAATGGTTTAGTCTGTCTTTTTTTTTTTTTTAAAGATTTATTTAATGTATATGAGTACTCTATCTGCATATATGCCTGCCTGCCAGAAGAGGGCATCAGATCCCACTATAGATGGCTGTGGCCACCATGTGGTGGCTGGGACTTGAACTCAGGACCTCTGGAAGAGCAGCCAGTGCTCTTAAAGGCTGAGCCATCTCTCCAGCACAACCCCCACCCCCACTTTGTTTTTGTTTTTATTTTTATTTATTTATTTAGTTAGTTAGTTAGCTTTTTTTAGACAGGGTTTCTCTGTGAAAGCCCTGGCTGTCCTGGAACTCACTCCGTAGACCAGGCTGGCCTAGAATTCACAGAGATCCTCCTGCCTCTGTCTCCCAAGTGCTGGGATTAAAGGTGTGTGCCACCACTGCCCAGCTTGGTTTAGTGTTTCTGATGACCGAGTCTCAGCCATGGTTCCAGCATCCCTAGGTCATCTCCCCACTCCATCTCTCCTCCACCTGCAAATCCACTAGTAACTTGTGTGTGTGAGATCAGCATGGTCTACTTTTATACTACTGTCTTTACACTTTGCTTTTACATAGAACTATCCCCCACCCCCCAATAAAGTCCTACCTGGAGTATCAACATAAATAAACATAAACTCTGAGGCATTTCTTTATCCATTTATTCATCCATATAGCCACTCAACAAGTATCTCTAGTGTCAACTGTGCCAGGCTGGACAAGCTGGAGCTCCTGCTCACTTGGCGTTCATGGCCTCTCTCAGTGGCCTGGAAGCCAGCAGCTCTGTAAACCAGCTTGAAAATCACAGGTCTCGTACGATCACCCTGACCTGGAGTGAGGCCATGAGAGACCCAGACCTTGCCTCTGAAATGCTTAACTTCTTCACGTCTCATACTGCTCATCTATAAGCTGGACTAACATCACTGCATTCCGGGCCCTGAAGAGGACAAGTGAAGCAGACACTATCTCTGCCTCCAGTGTCCAGGAGAGCCCCCCATACTATCCTAAATTAGCTGTGACTGCTTGGAAATTTCCAGAAACAAAGAGCCTTGGGAACAGATTAGCTATTTCTTCACTCTTCCCACCCCTGGAAGGCTGGCTGCTGTCAGTATGGATTTCATAGTCCCAGTTCACATACCATCCTCCGGGGCCTCAATTCCCAGACCCAAGCCTGCCAATAGCGAAAGATTTCCCCAGCCGGGGTGTCAGAAAAGATGACTTCTGCATCTGAAGGGCCGCTCCCTGGAAAGGGACGGGACTGGCACTGTGCAGATGCAAAGCTCCTTTGAACCCGTGCTTGTAAGCATGCAGTCACATGGGCCTGGATGCCTTCTATCTGCAAGCCTGCATCTCAGGGACTTCTCCTTTTCTATT